GGCCTGAATGCCATCGGCCTTCCCATAGATGGCCTGAATGCCATCGGCCTTCCCATAGATGGCCTGAATGCCATTGGCCTTCCCATAGATGGCCTGAATGCCATTGGCCTTACCATAGATGGCCTGAATGCCATTGATGTCATCCTGAGGGAGCGAGTAGGTGCTGGGTTCGTTGAAAGCATAGTTGGGATACATCAGGGCTCCGGGGTCAGAGGAGTGAGAGAGCCCCAAGGAATGGCCGAATTCGTGAGCAGCAACGAGAAACAAGTTGTAATCTGAAATGCAAAGAAGCATGGGGAACGCACCGTGTGGATCAGGGTGGTAGAAAGGGACTTCAAGGAACGCGACCTCAGAGCACAGCTGCTGGGGGAACAGCCTTTCCCACGCCACCTTTCTCGTCTTCCCTTCAGGTACCCGAGGAAGTGGACCTTGGGAAGAATGAAGGTGGGAGACACGGGCGGGGGATGTGAACTTCTCACCACATCTTAAGACCATGAGAAACTGCCTTTATTCCAGTTTCCACATTTTACAAATGTGGATCTGAGGCTTGGAGAAATTACGGCAGAGCCAGGTCTGGAGACTCTCGGAACCCTCCTCCGTTAGTGCCCCACACCCACCTCCCCGCGGTCCCAGACCTTCACCCTCATCAGGGGACTCTCAGTGAGGCGCAGCTGGGCAAGCCGCCACTCAGCAGCGCGGCCTTGCGCGGGGCTCCCGCACCCCCAGCCGGAGCTGCTCTGCCCCGGCCCCCAGCTCTCCAAGCACCTCTAGGGATTTTCCACTGGAGAAAGACACCCTGGCTCTTTTTGCTCCCTTCCCCCATCTTTTATCTTCCACGATTGTAATGCCTTTCACAACTGAGAACTTAGAAACTTCCAAGGGGCCCACTTTCTATCAAACAAAGCCCATCCTCCTTTCCCTGGTCTTTGAAACCTCCCCCACTTGTCTCCAGCAGCTATTGAGGGCTGACTTCAGCTGTGAATCCTGCAGTCTGCCCCGCCACATGCCACTTTACAAACATGCTGTGCATTTTCTACGTGCCTGATTTTAAAAATCATAACAATCATAGTTGTAGAGCAGCTCCACATGCCAGGCAGTGAGGTATTTTTCCATCCTCACATTGTTCTGAAGTTTTCTTAGCAACATGTTTACAGTAAAGGAGCCAGGGTCCAGCCCAGGTAGAATAGGAAGACCCAGGCTCTTACCACAATGGTCAACTTTCTTATCACTGTTGATAATTAGCCTGGTAAAATTCTGCCCATGCTCCAAGACTTGCTTTCTTGTCACCACATCCTTCCATTTATGTGTTCACAAGCCACATTTCAAAAGCCATCGCTGAGAGCCTGCAGTACTGCTCAAGCAAATAGTGGGGTGGGGTGGAGATTGTGGATCTGTTCTCTCCAGGGTTACATAGTCTTAAGGGGGAAACGTGCAAGCGAATTGAATGCACAGAATAGTGAGAGAGAACAGTCAGAGAAGATAAAAAGACTGTCAGAATTCTGAGGAGGAAGTTCTCATTTCCAGGTGAAGACAAGGTCTTTGACACAGTGTGGAAAGCGGAGAGATTTTGAAAGGTGGCATTTGGGGCAAGGAGAGGAAGCCATGTGAGCAAAGGTAGGGAAGACGGAAAGCACAGGGTGTGGCCCAGAACCAGTGAATGTAAACTGTGGCCTGTGCACATAGGTCAAGCCAAGAAAGATGGAGGGGGAGTCACCTTTAATGCCAAATAAAGTATTTGGACGTATTTGGTGCAGAATATATAAGCACTGAATTTTTAAAGCAGGAGAATACTTTCCAAAGACAAACCTTGCTGAATACTAGGAAAAATTAGAAGGGAGCAGAGATGGGAGGTAGGGAGTCCAGTTAGGTAATGATCATGTGAACCAGTGAGGAAGGCAATACAGATGGATGCAGAGTACGGAGAGTTGCTACTTACTCTTGGGGACAGGCAGCTCCTCGACTGGACTTCAGTAGAATAGACACCATGTATGTTCCAAGAAGATGGAGGGAAGAACAGGTGCCAAGCACAGGTAGAAGGTGCCTTTCCTATTATTTTCTAGAAAGTGCTGTCTGGCATATTGTGACCCAGGGCCTTGTGAAGTAGCACGTGGACTGGATGCTCCTCCTTTCTCCCCTTCAGGCAGCCCAGCCCCTTAGTCTGAACCTTCTGAAAGGAGCGATTGCTGCCTAGGAACAGAGCACTGGAAAAGAGCTCCATGAAGATGACTAGATGAGGGACAATGTGGCTGCTCTTTTCTACATCAAATAATTTATAAATGAATTTTGAAAAAAATTAAAAAATAGGCCCTTCTCAAACATCATTACATTTCAGAATATTATAAGAAAGATGTACCCTAAAGCAATAGCAAGTAAACTTTTTCTGTAAAGGGCCAGATAGCAAATATTTTAGGCTTCGTGGACCGAAGGCTTCTTGCTACAACTACTCAGCTTTGCCATTGAAAAGTGAAAGCAGCCATGGACAATACACGAATGAATGAACATGGCCCTGTGCCAATAAAACTTTATTTATATAAACAGGGTCCAAGGGCAGGATTTGGCCATGGTCTGTAGTTTTCTGGTCCCTGACCTAGGAAGTAAGGTCAGTAATTAGCTTCAGAATTTTTTATTTTTATTTTTTTTGAGACAAAGTCTCACTATGTCACCCTTGGTAGAGTGCTATGGTGTCACAGCTCACAGCAACCTCAACCTCTTGGGCTTAAGTGATTTTCTTGCCCAGCCTACCAAGTAGTTGGGACTACAGGTACCCACCACAACACCTGTCTATTTTGTTGTTGTTGTTGTTGCTGTTGCACTTGTCATTGTTTTCGCTGGCCTGGGCCAGGTTTGAACCTGCCAGCCTTGGTGTATGTGGCCGGCACCCTAACCACTGAGCTATGGGCACCGAGCCAGCTTCAGAATTTTTTTAAAAGCCTAAATTGACTTAGAATCTTATACAAAAAATTTCAAATGACCTATTTGTGTGAGTTGGAAATGTTATAATAATTTGAATGTGTGTGTGTGCATATTCTAATGTGGTAAAGATTAATTCTGAAGCTGCATGTAGACATGACCCTCGTCAACTTACTTATGGAGGTTGTGGTCCATGTTTCTTCTTCATCAAAATGCACGTCTCCTCCAATGCCTTGGCCTGGCTGAAAGGCATGAGCAAGGATTCCATTGGGTCCATCAAATGGAGAATTGTCACCATGATCTGAGATAAGAATTTGTGTTAGGTCCTTGCTGAGTCTTAGATTAGCCAGGGAAGGCAAAATGAGCACGATTACTTTGCCTACCTTTTTGGACAAAAGCAATCTTGATGTCTGCTTCTCCCTGTGCAGTTTTGGTGAAGGTCAGAGGTGATGCCTTACTCCAGACTTCAAAGGCTTTCTCAATGACCGTTTCCACGTCAGTCTTTGACAATTGCGGGGTATAGTTTATAAATCTTCAAAATAAGAAAGTGTGTGAAGGGTTTGTTATTGTTTAGAACAGTAGTCTGTCAACAGATTGAGTTGTCCCAGTTTGGAGTGAGTAGCACATGCCACAGGGGAGGGAAGAAGGAGGGCTTGCAAGTCTCAGGGTTGAAGACAGACGTGGCTTCTAAGTGTCTACATGTCTCCAAACCTCAGTTTCCTTAATCATCAAAAAGAGGATAATAAAATAGCATCCGTATTATAGGGCTATTTTGGGATGCAAAATATTTAGTTTACTACTTGGCAAATAGTAGTATTCCACAAATGTTAGGGATTATTATTATTATTATCAAGATTTATGAAAGATGAGGCCAGAATCTCTCCAGCAAGGATCAAGTCTTTTGGGGGGTATTAAAGTGAGTCCTTGGAGAGAGCCTAGCATTGCCATAGTCCTCTTTAAATTATTGGAGAGGGAGACTTAAATGGCAGGCTTTGGAGGGAAAAGAACCCATGGAATCTCTGCCCTTTTATCCTCATACTCATTCACTATTCCCAACTTGCAAGGGTAGGTATCTTTATCTCTTTGTCTGTGGTGTATCCTAGAACTGTGTCTGGCATATTATAAGAGCTAATCAATTAAAAGAGCTGAAAGCATGAATGAATTCTGAAACTCTAGAAATATCACCTGTAGGTCAGATTAGTGTGTTCCCACTTGGGGCTTCCTGGGGTTAACATAAAACCAGCAGTGTCAGGCACCCCACAGCGAGGCTTTTCCATCATCTCTAGAGTTTCTGCATTTGGCTTCCCTGTCACATTCAACCCAAAAAATCGCTGCATCTCTTTGAGCTTTTCAACAATCATAGTAGTGCTGTTCTTCCTTGAAGTCCGGTATCGGTTGCTTGGTAATTGATAGAACTTTTCTAGGTAGTCCTGGACCAAGACAAATACACAAGAGTTCTTGCTGTGAAATGACCTTCAGTTCTCTGGGCATTTTACACTCCTTTCTAAGTTATGGCAGAGGTCAAACCAGAACTAATAACCTAATAGCCACAGAAATAATAACACGAACTTTTGGGATGACTTTGAGAGAACAATGCCTATTAGAAAGATTAGTCCCTCCATTCAGTACTCCAACTAACGGTTATGAATAATAATATGTCTGTGGTAAGGGATAAGGACCAAGGCAAAGTGCAAACATATAGTCAGGAGATGCCTTCTAATTTTTATAAAAATATTAGAGCTAGCATTAATGGACTTCTCTTGAGGCACTAGTTGCATTAAAGCAGATTTTCTTTTTTGTCCTCTTTTCATTACTGTAGAAAAGACTTAATCATCCTTATGAAGAAACAGAGGCACAGAGAAGTAAGGAACTTGCTAAGTAACAACTTAGGTTCAACCTCACCATGTCACCTCTCAAATGATGACAGATAATTTCAAAAGAAGAACTCCAAATATGTTTTGGGTAACAGCAGCATCATTGATGTTAGCATTTTATTCACCAAAGTAACTCTTTGAAAGGGGCCAGTACTTCTTTGGAAATAACAAGCCAATTGTAAAACTTCACCACACCTTATGCATCCTGTGAACACCTGTCATTTTGGAGGTGTTTTAATCCATTTTCTGTTGTGATAACAGAATACCTGAGATTAAGTGATTCATACATAAAATGGTTTTCTTTGGTTCATGGTTCTAGGGGCTGGCAAGTCCAAGACCAGGTGACTGCATCTGATCAGCTTCTGGTGAGGGCCTTGTGCTACATCTTAACACAGTGAGAAATGGAAAGTTACATGCCAAAAAGGGCAAAATCTGAGGAGTGTCCTTGCTTTATAACCATCTGCCTTCTTGATAACCAATCCAGTCCCACAAGAGCAAAAATGCATTCCAGCAAGAATTAACCTCATCCCCTAATAGTAGCATTAATTTCTCTTAACAACCAAATCACCTCTTAAAGGCCCTACCTCCCAACACTGCCACCACACTGGAGACCAAATTTCCAACACATAAATTCTGGGGGACACATTCAAACCATGGCAGTAGGTGACATGGAACAGAATACACACTTTGGGATAAGACAGATTTGGGTTCAAACTTTAGCTGTAACATGGATTATATGTGAGTACTTGGACACATTATTTATCTGATTTAAGGTTCCTGTTTGTTTCTGAAATAGAAATAATAATGTTCCCTCACAGGGTTATTATGAGAATTAAATGAGGTCGTGTTTCTGAAACACCTAGCAAGGTGCCTTGTACAAAGTAAGCACTCAATGGACTTGAGCTATTACTAGTATCATTATAAGAGATACAAAAACAGAATGATACCTTTTTAAAACTGTAATGCTCAAAAACATTGTGCATGAGAAATTGGTAACAACATTACCTTGTGTTTCTTAAAAATTTGGCGTGACTTTCATACTGTAAGACAATGGTTAAGAAAATCCCCCCCCCCCCAAAAAAAATATTGGTTCTGCCTTTATAATGTCTCCAAAGTTTGTAAACATTTTACAATCTGGTGCTGGAAAATTTGATTAACTATGACCTGATTTATGGTTCATTATAATCTCCTATCCTCATGTTCTCTTGTACATCTGAACTTTTTGACTGCCAAAAGAAAAGAAATGTCATATGGAAAGTAAATGGACATTTACCACCAAAATGTTTCATACTACACAGTAATCGAGTTGCAGATACACTGGAAGGGAAAATCTTAGTACTGTAAAGTGAGAAAGAAAATCATTTGGTTTTATAAATAAAACCAATCCTTCTAGAAGTGTTTCCCAGTTGGAGGCAGCTCTACAGCAGAGTTGTCCCCAGGCCTTGAAGAGCCAGTTTGGTTTCTTGGTCAAGGACAGAAAGCCCTGTCCTTGCCAGCTTGGAACCCTCTGAATCACTAATAGGATGTGTTCAACCTCATGAACACACGCCTGGTAATGTCTTCCAGCCTGTTTAACTAATGAGAAAACAATCCCACACGATTTCCTAACAATCAGAAAATCAACCACCCACCTAACTGATAGTTAATTTACCTGAATGAGTTTTGTATTTTTCTCTGCAGAAACTACAGGAAAGGTCTTGGAAAGCGGCACATGGAGTAACAGCAGAAACACCAGTGTCTTCAGACGGAACATGACCTTTTCTTTAGCACAACCCTCCAGAGCCTCCTTTCTGCCCCTCTGGCTAGGACCCTTCCCCCGGTGAGTGTCCTAATCCCTCGTCGCTCACTGCTCTATTTTGGTCTCTTTTAAAGCCACATCTTATATAATTGCTGCATCAGGAATATGAGGCAACACGGGCCAATTACACTATGATGGTTTTGCAATTTTATAATGTGATTAAATTCCCCCAAATGGGGAAATCTTCCAACAGAACAAAGTAAAATTTGCTGCTCTTTGCTTTGGGGGGTTTCACTTAGCAAAATTTTCTGATCAAGGAAAACAGGAGACTAATACTGAAGTTATGAGTATTTAATTTCTGACCATGTAAGATACAGAGGCTGTGCTAATTTATGCAGGGAAATATTGTTAGTGGTAGGTATGTAGGGACCAAGCTGCCTAACTAGAAAATCTCTGCACTTATCCACTCTCACTGAATGTGGAGAGACAGTGCTTCAGTGTATATCACAAGCAGGCTTTGTATGGGGGTCCCAGAGAAGCTTCTGGAGGACGTGGCTCTGGCATCAATTGAGAAAATTCTCAATCTGCAAGCTGGATTTCCCAGAGAAAAGATGGAGAGCAATGCTGCTGCTGATAATAAACATTTGCTAACTATTTGACATTCAGACATTCAAATGCTAACTATTTATGACATTCGGATATTCAGACATACAGACATTTGTACTGTACATGCATTACCCCAACATCCTCATGCAGTCTCAAGAAGAAGAAGCCATTATTTTTGCTATTTTCCAGAGGTTAGATGAACTGAGATGTGCAGGTCACTTGCTTGTTAGCAGAAGGGTGGCTGGTTTGCAGAGACTGAGCTGGGAGCTACTACATCAGCTCTGCAGGGCTGTTTTTCTCTTGAGTCCCCAGTGGTCCACAATGGAGCAATAGCTCCTGGCCTGCAGCAGGTGTGATGCCTTGGCTCATATTTATGGAAGAGACAGGGAGGCAGAGAAGGAAATGTCTTCTATATTTCCAAGGAAGTAAGATGCTGACAAGATTTCCAGACAAGGTATCTACGCTGGGGCCTGGACTGGTCAGAGGCCTTTGGGTACACTTTCCAAATCATGTTACTGATCCACTTATTCAGACTCCACATAGCTTTTCTGCACATTCGCTTACATATGGGCATGCATATTCCTCAAGGCTGGGTATTCTTGGGTGTAAATGCTGCATCTACATGTATGATTTATTTATTAATATGTAAATAGTGTCTTTGTTTGAGATGCTATATTAAGGAGTTTGGTTTCCTCCTGATGTCTTGTAGGAGCTCTATAAACAGGATTAATGTACATGATGTAGTTTTTCTATATTCAGTAAACATTTCCTGCCACTTACCACATGCCAGATTCTATGATGGGTACCAGTTTATTGGAGCCAAGTTAAAACAGGTTTGTATAAAATGCCGTGGGAGTCTGGAGGGAAGAGTCAAGGTGGAGGGCGGTGGAATCAAGGAAGGCTTCATGTGGGAGGTAGAATTTGTGCTGGACCTGAAAGAGGAGGCAGAATGTGGACATGCAGGCATGTGGCAATCAGTTCCTTGTACCGATGTGGTGGCTTTCCTATCCCATCCCCTGCCCCTCCCCAACTTGTTCAAGTTGTTCTAAGATTGTGCTCATGTTAATGCTCCCTGGGTGCACGAATTCATGGGCCTTCCTCTACATTAGGTGTTTAGAGAAAAGACCCTTTTTGCATAATGAAAATGCCTAATATCAGTCTAATATCAGTCTACCTCTATGCTGTCTTGCATACACTATGCTGTCTATGATACACTGTCTTGCATACAAAGTTTATAAATGCACTCTTTTTCTGAATGTCACGGCAAGTGATTTAGATGAGAATCCAAAACTTTGGTGAACTCAGTTCTTTGGTGTTTGTCTAAATGCTGTGCTAAAAATTGAAATTGTTGGATCTGGATCCCTGACCACAGGTCCTCCCTGGTGGAGAAGGCTACACTGTATCTGTTTCCAGGGCCTCCGGCTTGTGTTTTCCAAATCCTTTCCCCACACCAAACAGGTGTCTGTGCCTCATTCGCCTCTGGTACCTGAGACCCAGAGGACGTTTTGTCAGGTCCTCTCACCAAAAGATGAATAACTATCAGCCATTTATACTCCACTGTGACCTTACCAGCTATTTGCCTTTTGAGTAGATTTCTTACTAGAAGAAAAATAAAAAAGCAAACAGGTTCTTTAAAATGAAGGTTTTATTCAATATAACATGAGTTTCAGAGCCAGTTAAGAAAGTAAAGGAAAGGAAATTTAGTTTTGAGCACAGCACTGGCAAGGCAATGTAGGATCTTTCTGTCTCTTTGATGCCCCCCACCCCCATCTCCCCGCACGCCCTGTGGGGAGCTGAGTATTTGCATCAGGCAATGTGCTGCTGCTCAGCAGACACAGCAAGTTGCATTTTTGTAGCTCGGCTTTCCTTTTTAGGCCTGGGGAGATGGAACTGATTGCATAGACGCAGTCCATTTTTTCTTTAGTTATAAAATAAAGAACAGGTCAAAGCAGCTGGCATGGGCATGGGTACCTGAATCTGAAGCATGAGCAGGTGTTTGCCAAAGAGGAACGTGATCCAGTAGAGCTGTGGTCCCCAGTCCCCCAGCCACACGGGGCTGCACAGCAGGGTGAGCGGCGGAGGGCAGCTTCTCTGAGTCTACAGCCACTCTCCATTGCTGGCATCCCCACGGGAGCGCCACCTCCTGTCAGAGCTGAGGTGGCACTGACTTCTCACAGGAACGTGAACCCCGCTGTAAACTGTGCGTGCTGGGACTCCGGTGTGTGCTCCTCACAAGAAGGAAATCTGAGGTGGAGCTGGGGACATAAGTAACAGACTTTGGGGGTGACTGTCTCCCATCAAACCCACATGGGACTGTCCAGTTGCAGGAAAACAAACTCAGGGCTCCCACTGACTCTGCTTTACTGTGAGTTTGCATAATTACTCCATTAAATATTGCAAGGTAATAATAATAGAAATAAAGTGCACAAGTAACGTAATGCCCTCATATCATCCTGAAACCATCCCCATCCCAGTCTGTGGAAAAATTGTCATCCGTGAGACCAGTCCCTGGTTCCAAAACGCTACAGACCACTGAGCAGAGGGAACAGCATGCACACCTGTGAGGCACACAGCCCACGTGGCTCACAGGAGCCATGGGGACTGTCCTCTGCATCGTGCCTTTTGAATGCTAATGGCCAGGGTGGATGTCTATTCACACCAATCAAGTTAACAGGATGATTATTGGTGCCCGTTGTTTGTGGTGAAGGATAAAAAGCACTGGAGTTGAAATTCAAGTTGCAGTCCTGTCACTTACTACTTATGCTGTTTTGGCAAATCTTCTATATTCTTCGGAGGCTCAAATTCCACATCTATGAACCAGTGTATTAACATCTCCCCAGGGCCACGAGGGGAAGAGAGAGGAGCGTTCGTGGAGGGTTCTGGGGGAACCTTCCAGTGTGGTGGCCTCTTTGTATCGTGCACACACCCATCCTCCTTCTACCATGCCTCTCACCTCTTCCCACACTCCCCCTCCTCCTCCTCCTAAACCTCTCCTCCTCCTCCCACTACACTCCCCCTCCTCCTCCCACTACACTCCCCTCCTCCTACCAAATTCCTCCTCCTCCC